TCTGTCAGACCTGCCAGGAATTCGGAGAATGAAAATAAACGAACGCTCTAAGGTGTGCGATTATTTTCAGGGAAACGCATGGCTAAAGTAGATCCAGCCAGACTGAGGTAATTCACACACACTAAATATCTCTGATCTGAATATCTTTAACATCTGAACAATGTTTTGGGGTGTGGTAACTTTAGAATACGTGGAATCATACGTGCTAATAATTCAACGGGCCTTTGTAATTTGTTCCCAACATGTATGTATGGCTGTTTTTCGAGGAGTTTTTGGTGTTTTTCAGCTGGTCAGGCTGGGTGACACATGCTTGATGCCCAGATAAACCACCTGTAAACAGTCATGATTACTTTACTGACACTTGCGGTGCAGAAATCGCTCACGTCGGCTTTAACGTAACAATTGTGTTTTTTCTTTTTAAGTTAAGTATTTTCTGTCGTGGCTGTGCTGGCGGTGTGCGCGCGCTTTGAGTGTTTGAGACATTTTGTTGTCTTTCCCTCCCTGCACTTATTTTGGGTTGTATCTCTACTATAAGACAGACACGCGTCACCTGATTATAAGCTGATGATGGCATGTCGAGCGATGTCGTGGGTTGGTAATTATGTTTTCTCTGTAGTAAGCAGCTCCTGCAATCTGTAAAATTGCTGTTTAGTCAACAGTCTACATGGAGAAGGAGGGAGTTTACTAGATTTTATTTTACAAATAATAAGCTTTGAATCTCAAGTACATATTTACTTGTGTGATGTGCATTTTTTATGCTTATTACATTATTGAAATATTATTATTGGCAAATTCTATTGGAAGCATGTTTCTCCCTAATATTTTCCATTATGAGTTCTTAATTATTTCCTAGTAAATCAAGTCCAGATCAGCTGCTTCTGAAGTTCTATTTCAGTTTGGATGCTGCCTTTGTCTATATACGCTACATGTATATGTACATTAGTTTCAGGTGCATTGATAATTTGGACAGACACATTCAACCCAAGTACGTTTACACACTTCATACACAGGCATACACACATACTTTTGTTCTTCTTGCTTTTGCTGATTGCATAAGGAAATGACATGTCTGTGCGAACACAGGAGCGTTCCTCATTTATAGACCGAGCAGTCGCTGGGAGTTTTCGTGTGGGCTACAAACCCCCACGACAGAGCGTCATTAATTCATGGTTAGCAGCTTCGACACACACACAAACACAAACAGAGATAGTCTCACTTACCATTTAATACAGCGAGTGCATCCAGAGATGTTTCCGGCACACGTTGGGGACGGGTTAAGGCCTCACCCAAGGCTATCTGCAAATGCCTTTCGTATAAAAGGAGCCTGTCTGCTAGCTTTACCCCATGACCTTTTTACAGTAATGACTCTAAGAAGTGCCCTATGCTGAGGGCAGACCGCTCCTGACCATAGCAAACACGTCACATGTTCTCTGAAGGAGGGAAGTGTGGGACACAGGGATGGAGGGATGGAGGAGGAAGACAGGCGATGTGGGAGGAGAGGTTTCATTGTAATTATGTAAAGGTAAAAATTAACATTAGAGTTGAGTTTGTTTACAGACGGAATCAAATAAAAATTCTGTCATCGTTTACTTTATGCACAATATATTGGTACCATATCGGTTATTAGGTGACAAGTTTTTTTCTATTCATCAATATTAAATATTTAATTGCGCATGCTCATTTCCTATATTTTAAGGGGATTTAGATTACCATCATCTGTGTTATGTAATATGTAACCTTTATTAAAAAAAAATAAAAAAATTTGTTTGAAATAGTGTATTCTATACACTACCGTTTTTTAGTTTTTAAAAGAAGTCTCTTCTGCTTATTTGATCAAATATACAGTAAAAAAAAGTAAAATTGTGAAATATTATTACAATATAAAATATCTATTTCTTTCTATTGTAATATATTTTCAAATGTAGTTTATTCATGTGATCAAAGCTGAATTTCCAGCATCATTCCTCCAGTCTTCTGTGTCACATGATCCTTCAGAAATCATAAATAATGAATAAAAATACCAATTTCTTTCTATTTCTAAAAATAGAGTAATGACCCATTTCAGTATATTTCTGACACAAAACCATATGACTTCAAAGCCTTAGACTATATGGCACACACATCATATGGATTAATTTTATATATTTATGTTTTTGTTGTTGTTGTTGTTTTGTCTCCATTCACTGTCATTGTGAAAAAGAGACTCGTACAATTCCTGTATTGTTCCATTAAATAAATAGTTTGGAACATCATGTGGGTGAGTAAACGATGACAGATTATTTATTTTAATTTTTTTCCGAGTTAAACTCATCTTTATTTGGGACTTGGGAGAAGCTCCACACAGTCTATTAACCCTCTGGAGTCTGAGAGACACAGATTTGTCAGACCCGTTTGCCTGCAGTAAAGTGTGGCTACACAAGATTTATGTGTGTCACTGATTTGCCCCACTTACTTTAACAGTTTCCACTGTGTCCTAGCAAAAACACAGCAGTGTGTGTGTGTGTGTGTGTGTGTGTGTGTGCACTGAACAGGAAAACTTGTCCCCACTGTGCCCTTGAACAATACCTCTTACCGCATGTATCTCCACAGAGACATACAGAAGTTCCTCTGGATAAAAAGCATATGCAGTTGCAATATTCTGTTCATTTGCATGCATTCACTTGGATGCAGTCTATATATGCTATGGAATATATACATATACATATTCATGCTTACCTGTGCAGTTGTGTCCCTGGGCTTGGCTATCGGCCCTATACCGCATGAAACGGGGAGGGTCATTTCTTCTCATTATAATTCTGCCATCAGTCTTCGTGTGACTGCAGCTCTCCGCTCTCAGCTCTTTATTAATCGCCGTGGGATAGTGTATCGACTCAAACACTCTGCTGCTGTCCGGACTCCGGTGTGCTCTGGGATACTGTCGAAAAATGCAGCATTTGATCACGGTTTATCACAGCGGCTAATGCAGAAAGCACTTTATTTCACTCCCGGCTGATAAATGATGCAGTCTGTGAGGTTACCAGGGAGAAAGTCTGGTGTACGCTGATAATGCAACAAGAAGTAGCTGAGAAAAAATATCCATGAACTTTTTCATAATCAGGATTTTAGGTAAAGTACATATATGCATAAAGGAAAGTGTATATTTTGGGTGATGTAACTCACCCAAATTATTTATTTATTTATTTTACTTAAAATAGTTTTCTTAAATTTATAATAACCTCCTTTTTTTTTTTTGCAGTTCACATAGTTCTGTGGACAATTTGTTCTGGTGTTTTGTGTCTGGTTTCAAAGGGAACTTTTCAGGCTGGGAGACCATTTTAGCTGGTTTAAGATTAGCTGGATTTAATATATTATGCACTGCTGGACTCTTTTAAAAGATTTTAATAATTAATAGAAATTAAATATACAGAAATTAATAATAAATAAATGATAATAAATAATGAATACATTAATGAATCATTTATTTATTAATTTTATAATAATTATTAATGAACAATAATCAATAGTAATCAATAATTTATGAATTAATTAATAAAAAAATAGAAATTGATCATTTTTTTGAAAGAATGGATCAAAAGTGACTATAAAAACATATAATGTTGCAAAACATTTATATTTCGAAAATAAATGCTGTTCTTTTGAACTTTCTATTCATCAAAGAATATACTCAAATAGAAAACAGTTCTTTTAAATTATAATATTATTTCACAATATTACTGTTTTACTGTATATTTGATCAAATAAACGCAACCTTGGTGAGCATAAGAGATTTAAAACAGCATGTCTTTGGCATAACCTGCACAAATGAATTATGCACGATAAGACCAGAAATGAGTGTTAATGTAAATCAATGTAAAATCAGCATGTTCATTTTTTAAAGTATACATACATTCAGATGTATAATCACCTAATTCAATAATGAACTTCACATGAACTACCCTACTTTCTGCTGATAGTTTGGCATGCAGTTTGAACACCTCCAGGATTCTCTAGTGTTGAGTGGTTTGCATTGCAGGACCACAGGGATTTGTCTGTAACCGGTGTGTGTTATATATGCTTTGTGCTGGTTTAGTGAATTAGCAGCAGCACCCACTTCATTTTCTCAATGAAGAGCATCGGCGGCTGTGCGTGGGTGTTTTGTGGAGTATCTTATCTCTCTCGAGCAGCGCTGATAGCAGAACTGAGACTGAATCAATTCTTGTGGCTTTTCCCAGAAGTAGCCCACGACATCTGCCCTCCAGATAGAGAAGAGAGAGGCCGGCCTACATTCACAAGCACACGCTAACGCTCTCTGCTCATGCGTTTACTAGTCTTTCAAGCATCTCTTTTACTTTTACTATGGGTTAGGGATTTAGAATATGCCCCTAACCAAAAGTATGATGCATATTTGATCATGTACTGTTTGAGTAATGAGTGAGAGCAAATTATGAGGAGAGACTCAGTCTTGTCCTCTTCTGCCACTGCTAAATGTGTCAATCATGTGATATGCAGATTAAGGGGAACGGCAGACACCCACTGATGGGGAACAGTAAATAATCTGCTTCCCCCCCCAAAAAAATACCCTTTCAGATTTAATAATGAACAGATTAAGAATCAGATGAGCCTTCTAACACCTCTAAATTCAGATTGTAGAATTCTAGATTAATTCAGATAAGGATTTTTTTTAAATCCGCTTGATAGCACATTTAGCACATGTGCACCTAAAATCCCCCCAAAACTAAATAATCATGTGTAATCTACGAGAAAGTGAAGTTTAAGAGTTTGCGTCTAGCCTGTCAGTGCAGAGATGCTCTCGGATTGAAAGTGTTTGTACTGGAACTCTATTTAAATGACTCTGGTGACATCTAGTGGAAAAGTAGTAAAACATATTTGTCTGTGTCCAGTAATACAGTGCTGTATGTCTTTCTGCTCTGTTGTTTTTGAATAGAGTCTCATATAAGTAAGGAAATTATCAGAATATTTTAAAATAATTTACTCTGATATGCTCTCTTCTTCTCTTGCAGACACAATGGTCCTTGTTTTTTTTGTAACAGAAGCTCCAGACACATCCAATTCAACCGTGACCAATGACACTGGTAAGTGCTCATCATTTATAGTTGATAATAATAATAATAAAATGAGCATTACTGTTTTTTCTCTCTCCAAATTCTTCCAATTCTAAATGCAGAGTATCACATTTATCGTACACACAAAATACTTTATTTAGCAATTTTTCCATCACTGAAGATAAATTCATAAATAAAGAAATAATACCTTTAGAATGTCTTATATAGGGTGTAAATGGTATTATTTTGCCATCAAATGATCCATCATTGTTTTATTGTCTGTTGTACTTTTGTTTTCCATTCATTTTGGCATTTGTAATCATTGGCTTGATGTGTGAAAACAGGATCCTATGACACCGCTGTTTCACTCAAGGTGGCGCTATAGATGATGTCACCTTATTCACACACTGTAAAAAAAAATTGTTGCCTTAAATTCAGTAGAATCAACTTGGATGTTTAAGTCAACTTAAATTACATTAACTGACTTTAAAAATGGGTTGAAACTTCAAAAAAACTTTAAAAAGTTGAAAATTTTGATGAGTTAAAGCAATGTAAACACATGTTGTCATAAATTATTGATCATATAATTTTTTTACAGTGCATACATTTTTAAAAATAAATAAATTAAAAATTAAAAATAAATTTTTGCTGCAAATTCATGTCAAATTTGTTTTGACAAATTTCTATATCGAACCTTTTTTTATATATAATGCCCAGAATGCATTGTTACAGTACATTACGTTTGAATGAAAAACAGTATGTTACTGTCAGAATTATTATTATTATTATTTACAGCATATCTAATTTTATTTATTGAAGCTATTTTAAATTTGAGACATTTTCAGACCTGGAAAATTGGGATTATTATTATTTTTTTGGATTGCAACCTCTATAAAATGATGAGAAAATGTAGGCATTTCTCACAAATAACTGTAAAACTGTTGTAAACTCAAAATGTGAACCAACCAATACTGTAACCATTTTTTGTTGTTGTATAACATTTAGCAGCGAGATGAAATTTGAATCCTCCCTGGTCGCTGTCAGTGTTTAAGCATTAGTGTGTATGTGTGTTAAATCTGCGGTGGATTACGCAGACTGCTGCAGTAAAGTGCTGATCGCGGGTTTAGCTTTAGCGGGTGATTCTTGTCAAACCTGCTGTTAAATGAATGAGCGATGCTTATCCCCGCAGTCAAAACAGCTCCAGCGTCTCTATTAAATCACTAATAATGCCTTCGCTTGACTGGCTGCCATACCTCACTTAAACGCTAAGTGTGTCTGTTCCGGCTCCAGCGGCTCTGTTCGTGGGCCAGTTTCCTGTTCTTTTGTTCACTGTGGGTTTAACTGCCTCTCCTTCTTCCTTTAGGGGACTCGTACAACACACACATCCTGCCCATACTGCTGGGGCTGTCCGTCTTGCTGCTTTTTCTTGGGTTGCTGACCTGGTTTTGCCACAGGTATGGCACACAACACAAACACTGAGAGTTGTTAACTGTGAGTCTGTCATATGCTCACAAGCTCCGCCCCTTTCTGATTAAGGGAGGGACAGGAACTGAGACATGCTGTCACACACACACATATATTTATTCATACATAGAAGCCACAGATTTTCGCATGGTTCTAGCAGCTGAGAGTGTGTTGTGTAGCGTGTGTCTGTGGAGAAACAGCACCTCTGATGAAAAAGAGCCAGAGTTTTCGTTGGTGAGACAAACTTGAAGACTTAGGATTGTGATATATATCCTCTTTTCCTGATATGTTTAACCCTCCTTTTCTTTATTGTCTTTCAGGTTGAAAGGCCAGAGGAAAGCTGTCATCACAGCCGTCGACAAGAAAGTACCAAATGGCATCCTGGAAGAGCAAGGTACACGGTTTCTTTATCTGCTCTGAGTCTGAATCGGTCAGCTATTTAAGACTGGATAAAAGTAACTGGGTGATTTTGAACGCTCTGTTGTAAAGTGAGACGTCTTGGCGAGTTTCACTTTATCAAACGTGCTATATTCGGCTTCCTGTTGCCTCAAGATGCAATGTGCCTCTTGAAGAGAGCAGGACGTGAGCGTGTTCGTGTGCTGAACGTACGTTATTCTATCCAGAACGACTGCAATTGCCTAACAAGTTCACTTTGGCTGTGGATTATAGATAATATTATGCTGATTTTTGAGGAATGTTGTCATCTGCATCCGCGATGTTTACAATGAAACACCAAACCATTGATTAAAAACTATTTTTTATTTAAGATAACACATTGTTTCACAAACTTGTGTTTTCATGGCTTAATTCTTTAATAAATCTTAACTATTTTAATAACATATTTTAAAGTTTTCATAAAAATTAGACTTTTTAAACTCAACTTTCAGGCAAGACTTTGTCAGCCAACAGCAAAATTTGTCTTGACGCACTTTTTCTTTTCTAGTTTATTATTAGTGAGCATTACTAATATTAGTGATTCATTAAACTATGAATCTTTAAACATGGATTTTACAGTGTCATTGTTACATATGTTACATGTAGTTACTATAGTAATAACTATAAATTATGTATAATTACACGCAACTAACCCTTAACCAAACCAAACCCTAATATTAACCCTATAGCAAGTACATGTAGTTTCTTAAAATTAGTCAGTACTTAAATGTATTATAACTTTGTAACATAGACACCTTAAAATAAAGTGTAACCAAATGATGTATTGTTTTGTTTCATGGATACAGTGATGTACATGGCAACATGATGCTGTTTGTGGTTCCATTATCAATATTTCCTCAAAAATATTCAAACATGACTAAAACATCGTGAAAGAGGAAGAAGGTTCTTTTTTTAATATATGTTCCTGTTTGCTTTTATTAGAGTTTGCATGTTTGACACAAAAGCTGTGGCTCATGGTTAGCCATAAGAAAGATACATCACAAAAGTGGTCTCTATAAGACTAGATTGTGTTTCTTAGACAGCAATCAATGAGATTAGCCTTGGATTTAGTCTCCAGAATCTCAGATTGTTCTCTCCTCACAATCTCCTCTAGATGTCCAGAAGGGATCTCAAACTGGTTTGCCCTTATAGGGTCAGATTGTCGCCACAGACTGTGTCTTGTCGAAGGTCTTGCAGATTTATGTATTAGGCTTCCTCTGCACTTTTTCTCCGATTATCCTATTAACATTTCAATCTGAGAGATTGTTTCGGTGTTCGGAGGTGAACGTCACACCCATGTAAAGGAAATGGTTTACCAACTTTCTCCAGCTCTCTGTGCCACACACTCTGTGTGTTTGTCTCTTTGATGTACACTACCGTTCAATAGTTGGATTTAAAAAATGCAGTAAAAACGGTAATAATGTAAAATATTTTCACAATTGAAAATAACTGTTTACTTTTTGTGTATGTGTTAAACTGTAATTTATTCCTGTGATCAAAGCTGAATTTTCAGCATCATTACTCCAGTCTTCAGTGTCACATGATCCTTCAGAAATCATTCTCATATGCTGATTTGCTGCTCAAGAAATATTTCTGATTATTATTATTATTTTTTAACCTTAATTTATCCAGGTAAACTGTTTGAGAACTACTTCTCATTTACAAAAATGACCTTGCCAAGAGGCTACAGAAATAAATAGAAACATTCTGTACATAGTCATACACATGACACATAGAACAAGCAATTAAAATAAGAGAAAAAAAAGAAAAGGAAAAAAAAACGAATAAAGTGCTTAAGTCTTAAGTGCAATGTCGCTTATATTTTTGTGGAAATCGTGATACTTTTTTTTTTTTTTTTAGAGTTCTTTGATAAATATAAGAAAGTTCTTATTTGAAATAGAAATCTTATGTAACATTATACATTTCATCACTGTCACTTTTAATAGATTTAATGCATATTTACTGAATAAAAGTATTAATACCTATAAAAAATGTAATCTTTCTGACCCAAAACCTTTAAACGTCAGTGTTTAAGTCTGCAAACATGCTCTTTTTTATGCAGATAAACACGTACTATTGCTCATACTTACAATTATGTTACTTGAAACCCGAACCAGAGAACAGAAATCATAGAGACTGGTGAACACTTTTGATTTGAGTCATTTGGAAACCACCAAGAAACCACCCAGAGCAACACCATAGATGGTTTCACCATTGTTTTTTTATTTATTAATTTAAGTCTAAACGCTAATGTACACCTGAGTAACACGGGTCATTATGTGTGTGTTTGCATGTGTGTTGTATAGAGGAATATATAGATGTGGATGATGAGGATAAGGATGAGGATGATGATGATGAGGATAAGGATGATCTTGGCTGGCCATCAGAAGGTCAGGTATATGTTGTGTCTCATGAACAGGCATGGACGTCTAAACTAATATCTCACCCTCTCTAACCTCTAAACCAATGGTTGTGGGTTTCTTTTGGTGCCACACGGGTCACTTGCATTTATGAAGCATATATGCATAATATGATGCTTTGAATATGCCCGTTTCTTTTACAAAGGCATGCTGATAGCTTTCCTGAAAAATAAATTATGGTGTTAGGGCCGGTTCACAGAACGTGTTTTTTGTTGTTAAAAACGGTCATTGGAGCAAAAAAAAAAAAATAAGGAAAGTGATGTGGTTTTTAAAAGTTGAAATTTTTGTAACTTGAGCACCAAGTTTTTAAAATGACGTGTCATGTGCAAGATGCTGGAAGAAACGCGAGACGCCTACGCACCGGCTAAAGACGTCCGTCTAGCGTGTGTTTGCATTGAAAAACAATGGATAAGTAGTGCAGTGGAATGGAAAAACGCGTTCTGTGTGAACGGCCCCTTAGCATGTTTTCCTGGGTGACAAAACTGTTGAACATGCTATTCTTTAAATAAAAAATTATTTTAACAGTGTCCTGTTATATATGTAGGTGCGACAATTTTGTTGTGTCTAAATTATAGAATTTAAAAATAGAGATCTAAACGTAGAGAATTTTAACTGGCAGTCTACCCTAACATCAAACCCAATCACGATTGATGATACTGACCAAATCTATGTATACACCTCACCTGGATGTGGAAAACACACACACACGCACGCACGCACACGCACACACACCAATGATGAAAGACAGCATAAAAAAAAGGTCAGGAAATGTGCTGTCCTGAAATAGCAATCAAAGCGTTAACGTTTCTATACAGCAGCTCTATAAACAAAAAGTCACTTTCAGAAATAATATAGCAAGATATTTATTTTTGCACTAATAGGTATACAAACAGTCGAACGCCACCTGTCAATCAACTTGCATGTGTGTGTGTCAGTTGGTGAGGTGATTGTATTTTTTGCACATATCGTTATGTAAACCGTGAAGTAAATGTCTATTGAATTCACATAAAATGTTGCATCTCCTAAAGATTCATTACTGTTCAAGTGATTGTCTATAACGTTTATTTACGTGTTCCTCTATAGAGCAACAGACGGTGGTCTTACTGCCAAGATCCCCTTCCACATCCAAAACTTATCTCCCCATCCCAGTAGACAACTTGGAAGAAGAGTATCGGATACGCTCGGCCGATGATGGGAAGCTCTTCCGGGAAGAGTATAATGTGAGTTGTTTCGTGTGCATGTAAAGATTGTATTTTAAAAGAATATTGATCATGGTTAGAGATGTCAAAAATACAATAATATTGACAAGAAAAACACTCATGACTTCCGTAGCTTTAATAAGCCCTTCAGAATCAAATATGAACACATTTATGCCTAATATATATATATATAATTCAATGCAGTGAAGACAATCCTAGTTATTTAATTGAGAAATCATTGAAAATAGAATGTCATTATTTTAATATTTAAGTTAATATTTATTAATTGATTATAGTAGCATGTTTCATAGCAGATTAGCTTTGAGATTTGTGAAATTTCATTTTATTGGTAATTTTTGTATCAATTATGTCAAAATAATCAGAAAATTGCAAAAATAAATACAAAACTAGATCCCGTCTGCAAGCGGCTCATTATTGTTGTTTACACTGATTACATCACTCATGTTGCTGAAAGTTTTTTTGTGTTTAGTGGGAACACTGGGTGGAGAGATTGTTATTTCGCTTGTGGCTCGTAAAGAAGCTGATGGTGCATTATCGTGCTGTTATTAACAGAAACGCTCCAGCGCATTCATGTGGATCAGCAAATATCCTTCCACATTTGCTGATGGCTCAACTCCTCTCATTTCCCACTGAGATTTACTGGAATTAAGATGTTCAGGAGTCATCAGGCATTGACTCATTCGAGAATGTCCCTCTCTCCTGCTTTTAGACGCATGATTCAAGATTCACAGGCCTGTGATTCAGGAACACACTGAATGAACCATGTGAATTTTCTGTCCCATGGAAACGATGTTTATGCTCAACAATCTTAATGGCCACTTAAACTATTTAAGTTGGAATGGAAGTGGCTCTGCTGGTCAAACAATGGCCTATACATACAGGAACAAAGCGTCAGTAATATCATTCATTTTCAGCAATAACAAAATGACAAGTTTGGTGGGAATTTGAACAGCATGATCAGGTTTACTCAAATACACAATTCTGTAAGAATGAATGTGTTGGGTAACAATTCAAGTGCAATTTAGTTAAATGAAATCAAGTCATTTTTTAAGTTTAATGATGGGTGAATATCTCAGGTGCGTGATCCACATCCAGTGCATTTGTGTAGAGACAAGAGAGAGCAACATACACAAAAAACACAATGCGAAGTTTCACAGCATGTGCTAAGTAATTCTTTTAATTATAATGCAGAAAGCTTACAACATCTGTTATTCCCAGACAGGCGGCCATCCAAGTCCAAAAAAAAAAGCTTTATTTAACAGGGCATCCAAGATCAGATGTGCTTTGGGTGGTGGCCATTGGTTTAGTGTTGTTAACATGTTATTTTGTATTGTTGACAGTCAATACCAGGGGGTTCGAAGCAAGGAACATGTGACGAGGCCAATAAAGAAGAAAACAAGGAGAAGAACCGATATCCAAACATCTTACCATGTAAGAATTCTCTCTTTTTCTCTTTGTTTAAGTCACGTCAAGTCCCCTTTATTTACCGTATATAGCGCTTTACACAATACAGATTGTTTCAAAGCAGCTTTACAGAGATAACAGGATGATTTAATGATGCAAACAGAGTTCATCTCGGCTGTAAAGCAGCTCTAAAAAGAAAATAGTGTCATTGTTCAGCTGAAGTCACTTCAGTTTTGATTCATTTCCGTTGTAAAGATCATAAGTTATTAAATTAGTTAACTGAATCCATAAAGCAGTTCTGCAGAAAACACTGATGTCATTGTCCAGCTCAGTTCCGTTCTCATCCAGTAGTGTCAGTGCAGTCAGATCAATAATACTGTTGAATATTACCAAGTGTCCTGGACTAAGCAAGCAAGAGGCGACAGTGGTAAGAAACCCAAATCTCTCTCTCTCTCTGACCGATGAGCCAAAACATTATGACCAGTCACAGGTGAAGCGAATATGGTTGATCATCTCATAACTAGGCCACACATTACAGTCTTGGTAGATTAGATGGTAAGCAAACAATCAGTTCTCATAATCAACGTGTTTAATGCAGGAGAAATGGACAGGAATAAAGGTCTGAGTGAATATCACCCCCGTATATTTTGATATTAATGATTCATACGAGCGCGTTTGGACATCAGCTGATCTCATTTCTTGTGATATCACACTGAGGTTTTGCCTACCCTCGCCTGTCTAATATCAACTTCTCTAAATACAGCATAGATCACTTTCAGTTCCTTTTGCCCGCATCCATGTCATTCACTCTTTTACTTTTATTTTTAAAATCTTTAGTCTTGTAGATTTGCTGTTTAGAAGTTCAATCACAAACTCACAGAGGGCCTGAGAAGGAGCAATCAAATGTGTCTATGTTTAGAAATAATTTTTTTTTGTCTTTGCTGTTATCCAGATGATCATTCCAGAGTGATTTTAACACCGATCGATGGCGTCCCATGTTCAGATTATGTAAATGCATCATATATTGACGTAAGTGATTTGCCATGCCGTAAAATGCATCAATGCACTGCGATCAAGTTGACAAAGAAATAGTGTTGCAGTCGCGACGTCAAAACCTGAAGACCTATTTCCTGGAGAAATTCCTATGGGTTTTTATAATGTTTTTTTTTTTGTTTATCAGTAAAATAATGACTGTGGTAAACATAAGTTGACGATACTTGGACGTTTTGCTCCACAATGTAAATTACACACACCCATATTGCTGTATTAAGTAACATATACTGCACACACTTACACCCCAAATGTTAGCAACTTGTAGAACAAAACATCCCCAAAAAGTATCGTCAGGTTCTGTTTACTACCACAGACCTTATTATACTTTTAAAATGAAAAACGCCCTTCACGCCTGCAGCACTCTATTGTCAGAATTGTTTAATTTAATTTAATTGTTTAAACATGCATTTCTTGTTCAAAATACAATTCTTGAGCATGAGAAACCGCAATAAACATTTTTGAAAATAAAAAATCTAATTACATTTAATTATGTTGCAAATGATGATGACCATTATCCAAATTGTTATCAGAGCAAAACATTTTGGTAACACTTTACTTAAAGGACAACTCCGGTGCAAAATGAACCTCGGGTGTAATAACACATTGGTACAGACTAAATCGTTCCCTGAGATTTGTTTTCATGATAATCGAATGTAAAGAGTTTTATCTCTAAAAACAGTTTAGCTTATAACGCTAGTATATTGGGCATCGAGTAAGCAAAAAGAGATCGCTAGCTAATACCATTAACAAGGCTCAAATTAGCCCCACACTAACACGGCAGCATAATGAGTGTCCTTACATGCAAACCAAAGCATTGAGAACTTTGTAAGTGTATAGACAGTTTAATAAGAAGATACTTTACACAGACAGTACAGTTAGCGCATACAGACAGCAGCCATCTTGGAAAACAGTCTCGATTAGTCAAACCACGAACACGGTGATACGTGAGCTGAACTGTGACTTGGAATCTCATATGGTCCGTTGTTTCCGGAAGAAAGCACTGAGCGCATAAGAGAAGCACTGAACGCAACAGAGAAAATAAAAAAATAAATATAATTTATCTTATCTTCAATATCTACACATACTGTTCGCTCACCTTCGTGGTTCTATTGATCGAGACTGTTTTCCAAGATGGCTGCTGTCTGTATGCGCTAACTGTACTGTCTGTGTAAAGTATCTTCTTATTAAACTGTCTATACACTTACAAAGTTCTCAATGCTTCGGTTTGCATGTAAGGACACTCATTATGCTGCCGTGTTAGTGTGGGGCTAATTTGAGCCTTGTTAATGGTATTAACTAGCGATCTCTTTTTGCTTACTCGATGCCCAATATACTAGCGTTATAAGCTAAACTGTTTTTAGAGATAAAACTCTTTACATTCGATTATCATGAAAACAAATCTCAGGGAACGATTTAGTCTGTACCAATGTGTTATTACACCCGAGGTTCATTTTGCGCCGGAGTTGTCCTTTAAAGCCTTTATATATAGTACTATATTATAAAAGTATTTTTAATGCATTAATAATGCCTTGTAATGTACATTATAATGCATTGTATGATCTTATGAATAATTATAACCACAGTTATAATACATTATAATACTTTTTATAATATTCATTGTTACGCCTTTAGAAAGTATAATGCATTAATAATTGATTTCAGAATCTACAAATATTATCATGCATTTTACCTTTGGTTACAAATATTTATGACAAACATAAAGACATAAAGGCTTCAAGTAAAGTTTTATCAATTTGTTCACCCTGGTTTGCCATAATTGCATGATTTCATTAGTCAAAAAAGTTTAAAGTGTTAAAGTTATTTTTTTTAAATCGTGGTTTCATACGCTGTTTCCCCAGGGCTATAAAGATAAGAATAAGTTCATTGCAGCACAAGGTGAGTGCATCTGAATATAAAAATAAGATTTGGTGAGCAGTCACACGTGTGTGTGTGTGTGTGTGTGTGTGTGTGTGTGTGTGTGTGTGTGTGTGTGTGTGTGTGTGTGTGTGTGTGTGTGTGTGTGTGTGTGTGTGTGTGTGTGTGTGTGTGTGCTTTCAGTAGCTACAGTCAGACATAATTAAACTGGATAAGATGTGTTTCCTCTGTTTCAGGTCCGAAACAAGACACGGTTGCAGATTTCTGGAGAATGATATGGGAACAGAAATCAGCCACTATTGTAATGCTAACCAATCTGAAAGAGAGGAAAGAGGTGTGTATCCTTTTTTTGGATTTCCTTGTTGGTCATCAGACCTGTAAATAAATCTGATGTCAGAAAGCTGCATAGCATTACATTTGCTGAATCGCAAGGCTTCTTATTGCTAAATGTAGCAATTATTAGCATTATATTACATATATATGCATTTGGTTGATGCAAACGTTTTTTTCCCTTCGAGTTGAAGTGTACAACACTGCACAGGCTCTCATACTTATGCCAAATTACATAAAAATAGGCATCAGAATATGAATACAATCACGTTTGAATAAATCTATTCAATTTCAAATCAGTTCCTTTTTCATAAAGCTAATTTGTTGACCATCATGGAGTGTGTTCATTTCGATGGCCTCTGATGTTCAGGTGTCACAAGGCCTTTTCCTCTCCTCTCCGTCACGGCCGTGAGCATCTCTGGAAAGACGGATCAATGAGACACAGAACGGAGAGGAGATTAAAATCAGCTTTGAGTAGGGCTTGGAATCGATGATTTTAATAATGGCTGATAAAGCTCTCTCTGGCTTTAACCTAATTAGTCTGCAAACTCTCATTAAGAGAGATTTATCCTCCGCTCTCGGGCTGGATAATGCTGATTGACAGACGGGCTGTTTTAAGAGCTCAGATTAGCATCGTGGTGTCTTAAAAGTCACCTTTACTACTCTAATGCACTTACAGCTGTTCTGTGGCAGTGTTAGATAGATTTACTCTACAGGATTGGCGTGTAATGCGTTTATGTTTATCTACAGAACTACATGTTTTGACTTTGTGACGGGCTCTCGCTTTTATATCGATTAGAAGAAAACTTTTATGGCACTGTTTTCTTGCCTTTTTTTTTGTATTGTGAGTGACTTTTTAACTTTCATTAATAGTATTAATAGACTGTTAATATTACTATATTAGTTCATGTACATTCAAATAAAAGAAATAAACTAACCTGAATAATGGTAGCTGTATTAGCAGCTATATTTGTACAGGTTAGCAACATTTTTGTTAACTTTACTTATTTATTTATACATTATTTAGAATTAAGAAAATATATTTTACAAGATTTTTTTTTTTTAAATAATACTAAGATTAAAAAAGATTAATCAAATAATGGTAACTATGTTAGCAGCTTTATTTTGTATTAAGAAAATGCAGTTGAGCAGCATTTTTATGAACTTTGTTTTTATTTAATATTTATATACTTATTTAGTAAAAGGAAGAAGAATATTGAATTAAAATAAATAAAGAAATTTTATTTTAATTGTATTTTTTTTACTATGAAAGCAATGTAGGTTAGCAGCATTTTAATTAATTTTGTTTTTATTTATTTATTATTTATTAGTACATAAAATATTGAATACAAATAAATTAAGAAATAATATAAAATAATGGTAACTTTATAAGCAGCTATATATTTTTTTCTACAAAAACAACGTATCTTTTAATTTATTTATAATTGTCACAATTATGTTTATTATGGACTTTTAGTTTGCATTTCATCAGTTCCTGCTTTCCATTGTTCATTTCCCCACTCCTCCTTTGTTACCATGGTCATTATGACTGTTGGGTTAAAGAAATAAGCTAACAAATAATGGTAACTACAGTATATGATTATCTTATTGTGAATACACTGTTTTTGTCTGTAGGATAAGTGTTATCAGTATTGGCCTGATCAGGGATGCTGGACGTACGGTAACGTGCGTGTCGCTGTGGAAGACTTTACAGTACTGGTGGACTACACGATACGCAAATTCTGTGTGCAATATGTAAGTGTGAATACACTGAAGTCATCTTCATGCGAGCTGTAGATGAAATGTCTCTTGATATTATGGATAAAGTATTGGTCTTGCACTTTATTCTATGTTGCCACAGAGATTTTGTGTTTGTGACTTGTGAACAGTTTTTTTTTTTTAAGTGCATGTATATGTATCTTTGAGAACACATTCCTTCCTGTGTGTGTGACCACAGCAGGCCAGCGACGGCACCAAAACTCCCCGTCTGGTCACGCAGCTTCACTTCACCAGCTGGCCTGACTTCGGCGTTCCCTTCTCGCCCATCGGCATGCTCAAGTTCCTGAAGAAGGTGAAGCAGGTGAACCCCTCGTACGCCGGGCCCATCGTGGTGCACTGCAGGTGGGTGTTCTTTCAGCATGACTCTTGTACTCTTAATATCAGGCGAGAACTAAAGCTGTAGAGTCACACTTCTTGCGTGAAGAATGATCATTTAGGTGTGAAGTGCGACCAGTTTTGGTCTGCAACCTCATCATGCAAAGATGCACAAAATTTTTTTGACCTTGTGTCGTATTCTCTGTTTTATAATGATCAGCTCGAAACTTTCATGTCACTATTTTTTGCCTTTACTTTGCATTTCAAACTTTTGAGCGATTCTCAATACATTACTATACAAGGTAATGCACATACAAAATAGCTTCTTTTCAGAAATGTTCGTTTAAATGTACAATATTAATATGTTAAACAATATTTCATGTTTTATTACTTGTTAATGAATCAATATTAATCAATAATCTAATGAAAAAGTGATATTATACTATATTGTGTTCAAAACAAGACAATGAGTATAGAAAATAAAATGAGAAATTCTATAATGATTTATAACATAATTTTAATGACTTGTTTTTAAATAATGTAGGAAAATCATTTAAAATAATATAATGAAAACTATTTAAACCATCACAATAAGTAATAAACTTAGCATTGCGGCGGCAACATTTGCACGAGCAAAAACACCCACATTTACTTCAGAAAGCTAAAATTGCTTTTATGTAAGCAATAAGGTACGAGAGGCTGTGCTGTATCGTGAATAAGTAACGGCTGGAGGGCGTTGTTAGGCACGACGCGAAGCGGAGTGCCTGCAACCCCTTCAGCCGTTACTTATTCACGATACAGCACTTGCCTCGAGTACCTTATTGCTTTTATAAAACGGTTGCCACACAATAAAAATATTAAAGCCGAAAAATATGTATCTATGCAACTTTCATGAAGTAAAATCACTAAAAGCCTGCCTTCCGCTGGAAAAAATAGTCCCGGAACGTGAACAGCAACAGAAGTTACATATATTATTTCGCCAATAGATGGCGGCAAAGACTGTCTTTATGAGTGAGTGAGTGAGTGAGTCTGTAGAGAAGGCTTTTGAAAGGACTCGAACTTGTGATCACGGAGAAGACAGACGCAACTGACAGATGACTAACGTTATGCACGGAAAACCCCATGACTGTTAAAAGGACAAAATATGCAGCGGACATTCAAACGCATTTTTTTATTATGAATATAGGACTGACCTGAAGGAAAATGCTACGTCTACTGTAAATGCAGGTACACTCGCTTACTCGATCTCTCACAATGCTCTGCTCTAGCTTTAAATGAACAATATCAATGAGATGAAACATCTGTTTAAGTTGCTAAGAGTGGTTGCTAGGGGTGTTGTGTAGTGATACATAGAACCGTTGGGTGAAGCGGTCATAGCCGTGTTTTATCGTGAATAAAGCACAGCTATTGACCAATCAGAATCAAGGATTGGAACTAACCGTTTTATAATTTTTATTAAACAGTGCTTTAATGAACAAATTGTGTCCTTGTCTTTAAATTAATTCAATTACAAGTAAACGTTTCTCAAGGATAACAAAATTATCTGCTAACGCTGTAAACTACAGCCCTTACTTGCACATTACTATACATTAAAGCTTAACAGCCTAGACTTTTAGCCTAAATGATATAATAATAAGCAACACTCAAATAACAAATTGTATGAAAACATGTAAACTGCACATAAGGCAATTTTTGCATTAACATGTTCTAATTTGTTATTGTTATATAATAATTTACACAGTTGCTGTTATTTTCATGACAACTATTTTAAACATACATTAAATAATCAAGATATCATAAACAGGTTAAGTAAAATATAATATATAGGCTAATATATAGCATTTATTTAGTGAAAGAGTTAGCAAACCAGCAAGCTGTGGACACTGAATGACTTGCCTGAGGTAAATATAAAGCTATGTGAAAAACTAAGCGTTTTATTGACGTATTTCCGCTGTTGAAACACTGATTGAGTGATTACACGAGTTATGATGCCTTTCAGTAAGTATACTGTATCTTTCAACATACCTTCGGGTGTCCATTCATGTTTATTCTGTAACTGAGGAAGAGATGATCGCGCTCCGCGCTGCCGCATGCATACAGTGATATCTGTCACGCCACATCTAAGAGCGCCAAAACGGCATTTATTGTTTGCATTTCGTGATCAAATAGACATAATTTGAAAGATTACACCTTGCTTATTATCAAAAGTAACAAAACACTGAGCTTATTGCGACTATATGTGGTTAATGGTGGTTAGGCAACAGCCCTGTATTCGTTGTGTACACATAACACATGAGGTGCAATGAGCCGGGGCTGGGCGGGGCAGCAGGGGGCGGGGCGTGTTCGGTTCGCCATGAGAGTATCGTGATACGTATCGTGGATGGTGTATCGCGGTTTTTCGGTTCGGTTCAAATATCGTTACACCCCTATTCAAATGCCATAAAGGTCAAAACAATTATATCTGATAAAAAAAAAAAGCTTTATTTTCCAGATTTGACATTTTAAGTTTTATCTTCCTGATCTACATTGCCAAACTTCTTACTTTTACAAAGTAACAATAACTTGCGGAATGATAGTGCTCATTTGAATTTCAGCTTTCGGAAAAAGGACAAATTTTACATAACTTCCATCCACAGTAATAATTTTTGAGAACTTGCAGACCCTTTTGCGTCAGTCATGCATGCATAATTAATTGGATCAGACAATGATAGACATTATTCAGAACAATTAGCATGTGATTTGAATTAGGTGAAGGAAGGTCCTTTCTCACTGCTGATTGGTCATATTCATAAAGTGAATTCATGGAGGTCAATGCCGGGGTTTCACGACACAATGTCCCGTCTGTCCACTCATCATCAGTGTGTGTGTGTGTGTCATAGTCTTGAACGTCTGTCCTCATCCTGTGTCCTAAACAACCAAACGCAGCGTCAGTAATAATGCAGAGCACTTCAGTTCCTGTCCTAAGGCCGGAGACACACTGGCTGCGTGGCGTGAGCGTGGCGTTTCTGTTGCGTGTCAGCTGCGTGGCGGCTGTGTCGCGTTATCTGTGTCTTTGCACACCATGAAGCGTGTCTGACGCGGCGCTGCGTGGCGTTCACGAATACATATTCGCTATATGTGACATAGAGGGAGGGCGCCGACAGACCAGTCTACATTTGGATTACTGTTGCTCTTGCCTTTACAACAACAATTTCAACTTTTATCACGCATCTTCCAAAATCCGAAAAATAGGGAAACATGCGGCTGTCTGTTTATTTCAATAACATTTACAAATTTTGTGTAGCTTTAAAGAGCCTATATTTAGCCTACCTGATGTTGGACCGTCACTCAGAAGACACACTACGATGTTATTGTAGCCTATCCTAACTTTATATCCTCCTGAGGCCCAGAAAGTTTTTTTCAAAGAATCTTTTTTTTTTTTTTTTTTCATGTAATCACATTGTTAAGAGCATTATAAACAAATGAAAATATATATAGGCTATATTTTATTCATATGCTATGACCTCTGTGGACACCAGGACTCGACTGTTTAAAAAATAAAATGACATGAAATCATATAGGCAAAAATAATGGGATTAAAAAAAAAGACATTTATATCTGAATTTATGTCAAAACCTAGATTTTCAAACATCAAAATGTAATTTATTAATATGTATTCGTGTACAAAATGACATATAAACATCTTTTCCTATACTATTTTGCCTGCAAACGCTTCCAACACGTTTGCGTGTCGCGTGAAAAATAGGCGTCGGTTCTATTTCTAGCATGCACGCGTTTTCCGCGCGGCTCATGCCGCGCCTGAGACGCGCGTGTCACGCAGGCAGTGTGCAAGCTCTAACCTGTTAACATGGGAGCCGAAATAAAAACGGACACGCCACGCAGCTGAGACGCTCACGCCACGCAGCCAGTGTGTCTCTGGCCTAAGGGTTTGTGCATTAGTTCGGTTGATCACTCATGCCCTCTAGTGTTCAGATTAGAATAAGGCGATGGAAAATATGTGTGTTTGTCGTTGTGTTTGCAGATATTTTATTTCTCACTTGCAATTATTGTTAATTAATTTGAAGTGAAGACTTTACGAAAGCTGTTTCATGGTGTCACACACAGAAACAATTTAGAACTAAAAAAATAATTATACAAAAAAATTGCCATGCAGGTTTCACAAAAAAAAAAAAAAAAAAAAATGAATTGCAATTTAATAACATGTTAACATGATAAATAAATAAATAAATAAATAAATAAAAATGTCATATTTCTAAATAGAGTATGTTTTTATATGTCTTAATATATGCAATATATAAACATATATTCTGATAGAAAATTTAATTTTTCTTGTTTTGTTTTCAACATGATAAATAAATAAATAAAAATGTCATATTTCTAAATATAGTATGTTTTTATATGTCTTAATATATGCAATATATAAACATATATTCTGATAGAAAATTTAATTTTTATCCCTCAAGATCATTGATATTTTGATTATTATTTATATTATATGAATTTATATTGTGAAAAACTGGTCCCTGTATGATAGGTGTTTGGAAGATAAAATATTTTAGTAACACTTATTGCATTTATGTATGTTGCATCATAAATGTATTTGCATTATATTATATAATATATAATGCATTATATCCTTTCATAAACAATTGTAACCAAAGGTAAAAGGTAACATAAGTAACTGTGGTTACAATTATTCATGAGATCATACAATGAAATAAGGTGCATTACAAGGCATAATTATTGCATTCAAATACTTTTATAATGCGTCATACATAAAGGCTTTTAGGAAAGTGTTACCAATATGTTTTTTTGGCATATTGTGCACTAATGAATCACTCACAATAAGAGCAGCAAAGATTATATATATGTTGTTGTTGGTTTTGTGAATAATGGCGTCTGTGCTGTGTCTCTGTGTCAGTGCTGGCGTGGGCAGGACAGGAACGTTCATCGTCATTGATGCCATGATTGACATGATGTACACAGAACAGAAGGTGGACGTCTCCGGTTTCGTGTCACGGATACGTGAGCAGAGATCACAGCTCATTCAGACAGATGTGAGTAGCGCATGCCGTTGGTTTTTGCATAATTCCTCATCTACCTACTTCATTTGTTATTGTCATTATAGAAAAAAACAGGTGACTGAAGCAGTTACCTAGAAGTCGTGCATGTTTAACCCTCTGGGGTCCTTCATTTCAGAGTCACACTCAGGACCTTCGGGTCCAAATGGGCCGGAAGGGTGGGATTAATATTTATTTTAAAAAAATCATAATTTTTTTTTACTTGTTTTTTATAATATATTTTTTTTCTTTTTTGGTGTTTGGAGATAATAATAAATAAATAAAAAGATTTATAATTAATATTAATGCAATAATTATGACCCATTTTTCCCCATTGAATATAATATATTTTTTTATTATTTTTTTTTATTTTTTTAAGCTGTATTTCATTTTAGAGTCAAGCCTAGGCCTCATGAAAGCAATTTTTGAAATGAGATGGATGCCATCTGGTGGACAAACTGACCATTTTAAAAATTCAAAGCCCATCTGTAATCTGAATTTATTAGTGTGTATGTGTATAAAAGTGTGTTTGTGTGTGTGTGTGTGGATGTGTCTGTTTTGCATTCTTGATGTTTTATAGATTCACCCCTTCACTGTTGTGTGCTTTTTTTCTGGATCGTGGCTGATTTGTAGATTGTACGCACAAAAAAACTCTGTATTTTCACATTTTTGCCAATTTCCCATTCATTTCCTATGCGGGTCCATTTGGACCCGAAGGTCCTGAGTGGGACTATTTTTTTTCCAACCACTTAGACTATTCAAATCCTGTCCCCAATTTTTTTGGGTGTTCATATACCAAGTACCAACAAAGTCACCAAATTTCGGACCATTCCGATAAAGCTATGATTTAAAAAAAAAAAAAAAAATTTAAATGCTTCGGGTCCATTTGGGCCGAAGGACCCCAGAGGGTTAAAGGTGTACTGTGTGTTTGTTGTAGTTGCAGTACGCATTCATCTATCAGGCTCTGCTGGAGTACTTCCTGTATGGGGACACAGAGCTGGACGTGTCTTCTCTGGAGGGACACCTGCAGAAACTCCACAACACCAATGCTCCGCTTGACCGCGTGGGCCTGGAGGAGGAGTTTAGGGTGAGGATATTTACTGACACTAGTGGTGTGTAGACATGTGTGATGTAAACAACCCCAACATGGATGAGAAGCATGATGGAAGACGCTGGACCATATCATACACCTGGTGCAATGCAAGTGTGTTTCGCTATTTTCAGCCCGACGCAGTTATCATTTTCACGTCCTGCGCCACGTTGTTTAAACAGGAAATATTTAAAGGGCGCATTAGTAATGTGCGCCTATAGGCGGGTCCACAACGCACGTACACTTTGTCCCGTAGATGGTCTGCTTGCTCGCTTTGACTGTGCGCACGAGCAGATCCGTTTCCTCGCTAGAGAAGCGTTCAGTTTTTCCGCTTGCAAATTCCGTCATGTAAATAGCAAATCCGCCATGGCGCGAGCGCAACTGGCTTTTAAAGGGAATGGGAGATGAGACCCTGATTGGTTTATTGCACGTTACGCCCAAAACACACCCATTACTCATATAAAGAATAGGGACAACCCTTTTAGACAATGTGCCGTGCACGCCGACCATTTTTCCTGTCGTAAAACTAGCAAAAGTGGATTTGGACAGGCTCTAAGTGCACTTGCGCTGTGCGCTTTAGACCATGCGCTTAGATTGTTAAAATATGGTCCGCTGAATGAAAAGGCGCTTTCGCTCTCTGACAGTGGATGGCCGTTTTGAACAGCTGCTACTTTCTGGCCACATACACACTGATCCTTTATCTTTATAGTTCTTTTGCACTTTAATCAGTTTGAAACGTGTTTAGTTTATATATTTTATGTGTGTATTGTTTTATTGTATTACATTTCAGAGTTATTTTTTGTATAAGAACAAAAAGATATTAAACCTGTTAGAGGACAGCACTTCAATTCAATATTGTGATAATGCAATAAAACTGTAATAAAAGCTTAATAAATTATCGTGATATGAAAATTTGTTACCGTCGCATGCCTAGTTCTTTAATTGTTGATTGATTTTTTTGGGGGGGGGGATTTCTGTTTTTTTTTTCTTCAGAAACTGACAAACATGCGTATTATGAAGGAAAACATGAGGACGGGAAACCTGCCTGCCAACATGAAGAAAAACAGAGTACTTCAGATCATTCCATGTGAGTTTCAGATCTTCGGCACTCGTGAAGATCGAAAACCCTGAGTGAATTATGCCAGCTAATCTAAAAGACAATGTTAAATAATAGTTGAAGAAAGTTTCGAGGAACATATTTAATGTCTAAGAGTGTAATCTGAATGGACCTTCTCTCCGTCTGCCCAATGCATGTTGTTGTGCTGCTCAGCTTTGTTTATGAGGAAGTTAATCAGAAATCTCTCTTCCTTTTCCTGTTCTGCTTGTGCCTGTAGTTGTAATCGTGAGTCATGCAGTTCAAAACACAGCGTTTATGCTAGATGTCAGTCGGGTCATTTATGTATGTATGTCTTTTCTCATTCATTTTTTTCAGATGATTTTAACCGAGTCATCCTATCGATGAAAAGAGGCCAGGAGTTCACCGATTATGTCAACGCATCTTTCATTGATGTAAGTGTTTAATGACTCTTTTCAAGCGTCTCATGATGAAATGAACATTATTTTCTTTCAACACAAGACCAGGGATACTTGGTAAGAAAGTAAACAGGGACAATTTGAATGTTTTCATTTGAAAAATTCAGAAAGTTGTCTTAGGGCTTGAGTTAGTATTTTGGTTAGTTTGTGACTGGGTCCAAAAATAACTTTTAGCCAATTTACCATCCACAAACATTTCTTACCAGCCATGAACCTGTATTTTACATTATTATATTTTTGTCCAGTGGCATTATTTAGCTATTTTCCCCTATTATTCACACTCCAAGGCCAGTTTATATTTGTATTTTTGATCCTGGTATGTATTATTCATATATATATATATCTCATGTGTTTATGTTTTCCAGGGGTACCGGCAGAAGGACTATTTCATCGCCACACAGGGTCCTCTGTCACACACGGTGGATGATTTCTGGAGGATGGTTTGGGAATGGAAGTGTCACTCAATCGTGATGCTAACAGAACTGCAGGAGAGAGATCAGGTACAAACACACACGTTACAAATCCAGTTGTGCAGACACTCTCACACAACTTTCAAGAATAAATCCTGTCAGCTTTGTCATTTGGAGTGTGTGTGTTGCAGGACAAGTGTTTTCAGTACTGGCCTACTGAGGATTCAGTGACTTACGGGGACTTCACAGTGGAGATTAAAGGAGACACGCTGTGTGAGACGTTCAGTCTCAGAGATCTGGTGCTCACATACGGCCCGGTGAGCGCGCATTATGATCTTATTTGCATTGTCAATGCTAATATTGCATGCATTTCCATTTGCATTTTTTGGTGTACCTTTGGAGTTAATATGTGGTGGCCACTCGGATGAATTGTAATGTATGTTGGTGTGTATGTGTTTTCCTAACAGGAGAAACAGACACGTTTGGTTCGGCACTTTCATTTCCACGGCTGGCCAGAGATCGGAATCCCAGCCGAAGGAAAAGGGATGATCGACATCATCGCATCGGTGCAGAAACAACAGCAGCAGTCGGGCAACCACCCCATCGCCGTGCACTGCAGGTAAAACACACCTTTAACTAGCAGGCTTAGCGTGTGTTCATACTTGTAGTTCGGTTCACTTGATTTGTTTGGTCCGGACCAAAGAAAAACAAACATTTAGTCCTGGTCTGCTTAGCGTTCACATTGGCATTTTGATACCGAACCTAAGGCATAGGGATGTGTTCACAACCTGATTGGTCGTATATTATTACGTACATTTTGCGACAGAACTTACCGGACATCGAAAACAATGCTGTGTTTTGGGCTAAACACGTTGTTGTATGTTCGTAGCATACAAATGATGGTATTTTGACCAGCTGGGAACTCGTGAAGAGCTTATAAAGTGTGTAAAAGAGTCAAAAGAGCGGCAGGAATCCCTCCGTCACACACACACAAACACAGATCTGCAGCGACGAGACGCGGTTCTGACGCCTCTACTGAACTGTGATCGGCAACATCACGACTATGATGAGAAAAAACAGCAATGCTTGAGCATTCGGTCCTTTTTAGGGTCACATCTGGTGACATCATGTCCCGGTTTTGGTTCGTTTACATGTCTTTGGTCCGGGTTGTGCTCATATTTCAGTCGAACCGCACCAGAGTTCGTTTGGAAGCGGACAGAGACTCATCTTTTCAGTGTCTCGGTCCACTTGTTTGGTGTCACCAGGGTTCAGATCGCAGCGTTCACACTTATTCATATGAACCGCACTAACAGAGCAATCGCACCTTTTAATCGAGTTCCTTTTTCTTCCAACCAAACATGCCAAGATGTGAACACACCCTAAAATAAGTCATAGATCAGGGTTTCCCAAACTGGTTTGTCATCCGAACCCTTTTGAGATTAAATATTTTCTTGAAATACCCCCTGAGATTATTTATCAACATGTTCGCATGTTCACAGTTCACTAATGTCGGATAATGTCACAGGAATGCAATTTTTTTCCGTATTTATTCGGATTTCTGTGTTTTCCAACCATAAAAGTATGACCCGCGTAAATCTGAGAAAAAATGCCAGTTGGCCGGTAACTTTTCTTAACTTTCACAATGCATGTGACTCGTGTCGTAAGTGCGTTGTGAAGTTCGTGTGAGAATAAGGCATAACCAAACCTGTCTGCTTCTCCTGTGAGGAAAGCCATACAGTCCACCGTGCTTCTACGCTACTACTCGCGCGAACATCACAATGCACTTACGTCACGTCACAGCGTCCCTCCTGTGAACGCTCGTTTGACAGGAGACCGGAGGTTGAACTTTATTTTACAGTACGTGTACTCGCATGTTATACAGTGTACTTACCTAAGAGAATACTGGGTAATATAAGGTAACTACAGGGCTGCTCAACCAGCACTTTCCTAACTCGACTGTCATGTCTTTTTTTGTTTTTCTTGTGTGTGTATTCTGCAGTGCCGGAGCGGGTCGGACCGGTACGTTTATCGCTCTCAGTAATATTCTGGAGCGAGTGAAAGCCGAGGGTTTGCTGGATGTGTTTCAGACTGTGAAAAGTTTACGAATGCAGCGGCCACACATGGTGCAGACAGTGGTCAGTTCAAACCTTCACACACTTCATATCCACTACCCAGTTACACGCACAACTTCATAAACACAGTAATCATCATTTCTGCTAGAACACTACAAAAAAAATGTGGTAAATTGCTATTGCCACCCTTGTTATCCCAAGAAAAAAGTGTCAAAATGACAGGATTCTAAAAGTGTCTTATGGTCTTTGAAGGCAGTTTTAATTTGTGGATTTTATTATGTTTAATTCAAGTAATATATACTAATTAAATAATAAAAATATAATATTTTGAATGTCAATTTTATATATTAATTAATTGTATTATTATTTAATACAAGGAATAAGTTAAATAATATACATTATTAGTATAAATAAATTGGTAATATTGATTAAATTAGTATGATATTAATGTCAATTCCAAAGTATGAGCAGTTTGGTATAAAGTACAAAGTAATATAAATTAATGAAATAATAAGATAAACGATGAATTAATAAGTAATGGATTAAATTATGATTATTATTAAATTATTAAAATATAAAAAAAAGATTTACAAAACAGTATAAAAGTAAATAAAAATAACAACTGACGTAATTATCATATTTGATAACTGTCATAGTAAATATTTGTAGGGGGTAATAACATTTTCTCAATATTTCTGAATAAAGCGATTTGCTCATTGTTCTTTCTCTCCGCCGACAGGAACAGTATGACTTCTGCTACAGAGTGGTACAGGACTTTGTCGACATTTTCTCAGACTATGCCAATTTCAAATGATCTGATCTGCCTTAAATGTTTGAGTTTGATGCTTTTTTACACGTCAGTCGATCAGGATTTTACACCGCGACTGGAAGATAATTGCGCTCTATTTTGCTATGCACTTCTCCTCAATGTTACTAAATGACCATATCTATCTGTAATATACTAAGGCTACTAAAGTTTTAAAAACTGTACATTGTTCTGTCTCCTTTATAATATATTTAAATGGGTTTATTTTGGTCTTAAATCATCTCTCTGAGGATGGATCCATTCCAGTTGGGCTTCTGTTGTTATTGTAAAATAGTGTTTTGTCTGTTTGTTTGTTCGACTAATTATTTTAATTTTTTATTAAGCGATTCGTGTAGAATTTGTAAAGCTGTAGGTGGTATGTATTTATGCACTGTTGCAGACAGGACATCCTGCGAGATAAAGCATGTATGTGAATGTCCCATGCCATTTTATTTATTAGATGCAGAGTTGTTGTCTTACATTTTATGAAAGATATCATTGTCAAAAAGTTGTTTTATTCCTGTCTTTAACATTGTGCTCATCAGCCATTGCAAATGTGAACTTTTTAAGAACTTTTGTTTCAAAGCAGCAAATACACCCATCACATTAAGAGAGCGAGTGTTACAGAATACTGCTAAAGTATTATTGGTGAGAAAGGCACAAACACATTTTCATGGTTTAACATCAGCAAGAGTTTATATTAGATATGATCTTGCACAGAAACAGCAACTGTATGAGACTCATGACCTCTGACCTTAAACGTCCTGCCTCTGTTTCCCTGAGAATGATGCTGAGAAAAACTGCACAGGTTTTTAAAGCACACACATCACCGATTGTTTGCCTTGCAGGAGGCCAAGGATTTACAAATACATGAACAAATGCATTATGAAATCACATCGTTGTCCTGCGTCTTATTTTTGTTGGGATTATTTGCTAAATTAAGGTTTAATCAGCTATACAAATGCTTAACCATAAGATAGTCAAAATAAATGCATATAAAATAATATAAATGGCCCAATAAAGGTTAAAAATGGTTACAAATAAAATTTTAGGAGGTTTGGTCAACTTAAAAATGGTCAAATTAAATAAATAAAAGACAAATATATAAAGGTTTAATCAACACAAATAAAGAATTTCTCAAATTTCTATTTCACAGCAAAGAAACAGAACCGTTTACGACTGAAACCCTTGAAATGCAAAAGAACCGTTTACTGCAAGAAATGATGCGACGATGTAAATAAGTGCCAGTCAAATTACAGAGCAAATGACCGCAATGCTTATTTCTGGGTAAGAATGGGATTGTAAGGTAAATAACAATTTACTCTCATGGATTCATTAACTTAATTGATTCACTCAATTCATTCAATCACTTTTTATTATTTCAATTAACTTAATACAGGATTGGCTAAGGCAGTAATGTTTTAATGAACGACACTGAGTTTGCATGCCTTCCTCCTTCTGAAGGTTGAATCAAAGCTACTAAATGACTAATATAAGACCATCTCTGGCTGAATGTTCATGTTTTGGACACAACACGAAGTCCATCGAACAGCCAGAGCAAACTTCCCATCAACACACCGCAGCTACTGCCATCTAGTGGAGATGTTTGCTAGTTTGTTTTATTGCCATGAACACAGGACCTGTAGTGTATTATGATGAGCATATAAAACACGTCCAGTGCTACTTGTGTTTCACTTTTATTTATATTTATATTATTATTCATCTATATTATTAATATCATTATATATTATATATGTATGGGTCCAAACAGTAGGCTATAAGGTCAATATTTATTTAACAATGTTTATTTAAAATAATTTGATATTTTATTATTATTACTACTACTACTAATATTATCACGTTTTTCTATTATTTATCTTTAATGTACTTTTTCTTTTTCTATTAATTTTAAATATAAATAAATTATAAATAAAATAGATCCCTTTGGCCAATTTTTTTTTTTAAAGTGTTTATAAATATACAATATTTTATAGAGATACAGAATGACAGAAGATGTGAATATATCTACGCCAAATATCTTTGACAGAACTTGTACAACATACATTGATCGCTCATGTCTGTGCTTCGGTCAGTAGGTGTCGCTGTTGTGTTTATCAATCTGCTCGCGGCTGAGGCCTAATGAGACTTCCGTGAAGAAATGGCTCCTCTCTGGTTACACTCGATTCGGTTAGCAGTTTTATTTTACACAAACGTACATATGCAACAAAGTGCCATGACATTGGATGTATGTTTTGACATCCTGAAACATTTCTGGTAAGTTATGCTTCCTGTTTTTTTTTGTTCAGGTTGTTGGGTAAAAGTGTAGGGAAGAGCCTAACTTTGACTTTCTTATTTAGTGTAATGAGTATAGTAATGAAATAAGTACTTTTTTCTTTATGTATCGCGAAAGAATGGCGAAATGTGACAACATGCACCATAGGTGGAGCCGAGCTCTTAATATGACAGCTTAACATCGGATCAAATCCAAACAATATTCAAGGCAAACTAAAATATTTTGTCACTTAAATACAATAACTTTTTCATATAAAATAATGTCAATTATTTTAATTAAAAATAAACACATTTTTGACAACGAACACACCGCAAAACAGCTATACACACACAGCATACTTTAAACCATAATAATAATTAATAATTTCTGAATATTTACTCTGAATCTTTATGACCTGTTTCCCGTGGTTTCTCGATAAAATTAATAAAAAGTCATCACTAACGTTATAGAATATCATTCTAAGGTGGTGCACATTGTAAGATTGGTGATTATAATAGAAAATAAGCAGATTTGTATCATTTTAAATAAACACTAAAAACAGAACGTACATTTATTTTTCCTATGGTTAAATAAATGTTCAGCGAACAAAGATTTTTAGAAATTTGGCACAATGTTTTCTTTATATAGTGTTTAAATGCCGACTAGTAAATAGGCTACATTAAGTTTTGTCATGCTAGCATGTATGGAAACTTTTAAACCATGATGTATGTTAGCCCCGTTCACCCCTACATGTCAGTTGTGTTTATTCATCTGCTCATTTCTGTCTCGCTGTCCACTCCCTGTGCAAGCTAACATCATAAGTGTAGAGTTTAGAGATTGTTATGCAGTGAAAACCTCAGACTGAGTGTTAAAACTAAGACCTTCCCAATGAGATTGACTCCCGAGCACTTGAGTCCCTCCAGAGGCACACACTCTTCACTTCCAATCCGGCTAAAGATACCAACTTTGGCTCTTACTTTTCTCAGCATGCCTTTGTCCAAAGTGCTTTAATAAATTCTAATTTCATACAAAAGAATAAGAAACTACAGGAGGTTAGAATGAAAATGTGGAATGGTTTCTGCCAAAGCCCAGTAGAGAGACTGTGCCCTAATAGAGCTGGGCATTAGGGGCCGAGCTCTGCCAACATGACTCTCGGATGGGGCCGTGTGTTCAAATGCGGTTCAAAACAAATGAAGCCGTCTCTTAAGATGAGAGCGGATTTAATTTCCTAACAGAGCCAGGTAGTCGCCTGGAATGAATTATAAGGAAGGATTTATTGTTCATGTGTGTGTGATTATGCATATATATTGTGTCTAAATACATGCAGTGTTGTTTCACGACAAGCTCTCAAAAATGTTAAGATTGAACTAGCTGGCTCGTGCAAAAACATTTATTCCCATTTGAGACACAACAACCAACACACACATTTAAATCAATATAATGAATAGCAAGCTAAAATAGAAATTGGATGTAAGATTTTATTGTAAGGAAGGAAATGTCAGTGAACAAATTTGATTAATCATCTTATTTATGCAATACACAAACACATCACAGATGTACAGTATGTTATTAACCTGTATAGTTCCTGCTTATCATGCTGCCGTTACTCTCCTTTTATCAAATCACACTTCAGTTGCATATGGTGGTACTTTGCTGTTATTTTCCCAAATGTGAACGGGGTTGTTGAACTCCAAAAAGTAGGCTAGTTCATAAGATTTTTGCAATATATTCTACAGTATATAGTACATCCTGTACAGTACAGACCCGTGCTTTGGCTTCTGAGAAGTTGGAAGTATAATGCATGAATCAATGCAAGTTTTATGGTAATTTTTGTCCTTTTTAGAGCATGACAGTATGGAAAAAAACTAAATATGCCATGTTCACTTCTTGTAAGATCCAATGGGAGTTATGCGCAATAAACTTCTGTATTCTGTAAAACTTTTTTTTTATAGGCTTCTTTAAATAGAGTTGTTTTACTGAAGATACCTTCAAAGGTGCGAGCAAAGATGAGCATAACCGATGTCCATCGCATATGCAGATTGATGTTTTTTTTTTCTTCTCACTAACATTTAGATATTTAAATAGAATAAAAATAAACTAGCTAGCTTAGCTGATTACCTTAAAAGTCCAGATATCACCGTCAGTTTGTTCTGCCGTTAACACTGTCATGCGATGCAATGAGACCTGTTTTCCTGTTTAATCATGTGATGTCCATCATTAAGCCTATTGTGTGTGTGTGTGTGTTTGTATGAGCCAACCCAGTATCTTATGATTTTAGAATCCGGTTAACCAGTTGCATGCATGCATGGTTTAGTTCTTGGTCTCTGGACTAGTGAGTTTCGTTCTGTGTTTTGTTGTTGGTGTATTTAGAGAAACATCTTCTTGTAGAGGTGTGGAATCGCATTGTGATTCTTCATGTTAACAGTTACTTTTTAGTGTTAGGTGTTTTTACATTGATGGTGTAAAAACAACATAGTTTATAAGTGCATAATTCCATTTTCAGACACACTCGCAAACTTCCCTAAGCACTTTCCCCCTGGCAAGTGGACCCTCGACCCTCTCGATATTGACAGAGGGAGCGAATCTACGTCACGACTGCATCTACAATCTACACTTCAGGCAGATCCATAGACCACAATGCAACACGATTGTGACTCGCACTTAATTTACCCACAAGTTATCCAGGGCTTAGGGGTTCCGCCAGTAATGGCCACTCGTACAACTTAAAGGAATAGTTCACTTTGAAATACATTTTTGGTATGTTTTAGCTTACCTCAAGGGCATCCAAGATGTAGGTGTCTTTGTTTCCCCAGTGGTTTCAATTTTGATATTTTTAGGTCAAACCGTTCTTGTCTGTCAGTGATATAATGCAGGTCTATGGTCACCACCTCAAAGAGCATGCACAGAGAAGTCCAAATTAAACATGATTTAATGACTCGTAAATGTAAGTACACAATGATGGCCTAAGACACGAAACGAGCGGTTTGTGTGAGAAAACGAACAGTATTTATATCATTTTTACCTCTTGTAACGCACAGACCGGAGCGCCCGCGCCCTCAGATCACTTGGACGTGGCTGTGGTTACAAGAGGTAAAAACGATATAAATACTGTTCGTTTTCTCACACAAACCGCTCGTTTCGTGTCTTAGGCCATCAATGTGTACTTACATTTACGAGTCATTAAATCATGTTTAATTTGGACTTCTCTGTGCATGCTCTTTGAGGTGGTGACCATAGACCTGCATTATATGACTGTCTGACAGACAAGAACGGTTTGACCTAAAAATATCAAAATTGAAACTACTGTGGAAACAAAGACACCTACATCTTGGATGCCCTTGAGGTAAGCTAAAACATACCAAAAATTAATTTCAAAGTGAACTATCCCTTTAAGCAATGACGGACATCCGAGTGAACAAGACGGAAGGAAGTTAGCAAGTTAGCAACCTATGTTTACACTCTTGATATGTGTCAGGTGGACAGTGACCGTAAACATGCATGCATAATTATACAGAGATAAGTAGTCGTTCAGACGACACACGACATGCGCCCGTACAGGAAAATAACAACCAACATGTCGGATTATTTCCATACGTCGGACCTTCAAGTTGCCCTAGCAGCT